GTTCCTTAGTTACTACAGAAGTAAACTCACTGACCATTACAAATTCAAGAGAATTCCTTCCTCTTACTTCGATTTACTAGCACCAAGAGAACCTCTTCCTTCTACATACCACGAATTAAATAGTAAAGTCAGACATATCTTTCCATTAGACCTTACTACAAGCCAAATATCTCTAAATGGAATAGTCAAACTACTTCACGAATATTACAAATTCAAAGCTATACCCAATGACTACTTTGTTCAAAAGCCAGTACTCCCAAAAAATCCTCAAGATATCAAATTAAATATTGAATATCAATATCCAATCACAGATGATAAGATAGCTAGAGAATTTTTCGACTTGGCAACAACTAAATATAAAATTCCCTTCCCTATTAACCCAAAAATTATGGTAGCAAATCCAACAAACAAACCAAGGCTACCTACAGATCCAAACCTTATTACTGAATATAATATCACAACACCAATCACAACTCCTAAGCAACTCATCGATACTTCTAGATTATTAAGACAAACATACTACTTCGATAAAATTCCATCAACATGGATACAAATCAATTCAACACAACAAACCAACACAAATACACACAAAGAGGATAATATTCTCGAAAAGCCTAATATTCCAGACACTTTGATTCAACTTCAAGAAGCCTTAGAGAAAATTAATGAAGAGATCTTTATTACTCTACCTATTGTACTACAAGAAAATATTACACCCACGCTAGCAACACTCAGAAAATTTTTCACCGTCAACAAAATTCCTGACTACATCTTACAACTCCCTCCTTTCCCAGAACCAACTTGGGATATCTTCCAATAATCTAACTATGATATATACACAAAACAACAGCACTAATAGTGACACTAATAATATTACAAACAACACTAATTATACGTACAGAGAAAACAATATAAGTGATCAAACATCCAATTCAAAAATAACAGGAATTAATATTATCGTACACAATACTCAAGGTATAAATGTTATAACAAAACTACAACTTTGGCTAGACTCATGTGCAGAAACAGGTGGAGATATCATTTGTATGACTGAAACTAAGCTCGCGCACTCCAGATACCAAAACAAGAGCCTAACACATCCAATATACTACCTATTAACATCAAATTGCACGATAGAAAATGCA